GGGAGAGTTTGGGCTATTTTTGTGGGTGTGGTGGCGTTCATCAGTCTTCTCTCCCCTGCAACTTTGCTCTGTTTATGTTCTTTATAGCGTTTTATCTCAAGAAAATGCATGCCCTATTTGGTTGGAGGCCTAAGTCTGAAATTCAGCCGCCAATTAACTTAAGGCTACCAGGTACTCTTTTTTTTGTTTTTGTTTTTGTTTTTTTGGGTACTCTATTTATTTCCTTTTTCTTTTCTTTCTGCTTAACTAAAAATCAAATGGAAACTGGGATGTTTACAACTGGTACAAATTCTATATACTAGTATTAGTACCCGCGTGATGCACAATTAATATTAAAAGAAATTATCATAATAAATTTTATACTCAAAGTAACAAATATGTAAAATTATCACTATTGAGTTTTAAAGCTCAACTATTTGTCTGCTTGCATTGTGTTTAATTAATCCAGTTTCTTGTATTAAAAGTTTATTACTTAAGTTAAAAACATATTAACTTTACTGCTATAGCATTTTAATGATATGAAAACACAAAATAAAAATATATAATTTGTGATACAAATAATTTGAATTGATCAATTAAAAATACATAATAATTAGATGAAAAATAGATTCAATGACGCATCAAAAAAAAATTACAAAATTTATTTTTACACCTCATATATAGGTTCATTCGTTATTTGTCTATCATCTATTATACTAAAATCTTCAGCCCTTCTATTTGTCAACCGTGAAAGAGCAACATAATATTGTGCTTCTGTTAATACTGATTTACTTCAAAACCAATCCCATCTAAGACAATAATTGACCTCAATTTGTATTACGATAAGCCTCTTTTTGTTTTAGTTTTGGATTTTTTTTTTTGGGTTTTCTAGCTAACCTTTTTTATTTTTGACTAAATTATTTTCTCAAGTTTGAACTTTTATGTTGTTACTACTACAAAATGCATTTTTTTCACTGTTGTTTCTTTTTTTCTTGTTCTTCTGTTAATTTTATTTAATTTTTTTTGTACTAATAAACTAAACATGATCGTTATTGCACCAAACATCAACTTCATACCACTTAAAAAAATATTTTTCTTAACTTTTATTTTGCTAAGATTTCAGTTATGTGACATATTATACCAATTGTCTTGTCTTGCATCAAATTGTAATACTTACATTTGGATTTTTGTTTCTAAAAGTTTTGTTCTTTTTTTGGTTTCCGTACTTATTGTTGTTGTATTATTCATTATTACTTAATATTGCTATATTACCATATGACTTTTTATTACCTTACCACTTTGTTAGTATCCTTAATTTCTCCCTTTTTAGTATAATACGATGAATATAATTTTGTATTATTCCTGAAATTTTAATTTAACTTTGGCATTTTGCTCCGTAGCTCCAATTTTAAGTATTATTCATTACTTAGTATTGCTATATTGCTATGTGGATTTTTATTAGCTTATCACTTACTTAATATACTTGTTTATTGCTCCACTTTTAGTATAATACGATGAATATAGGTTTGTATTACTCCTGAAATTTAATTTAACTTTGTCCTTTGTTCTATACGTCTAATTTTTTTATTTAAATTTATCAATAATATTTTTTTTCTTATTTAATTATTTTATTAAACAAATTTAAAATGTAGAAACCTTCACATTATTTTTATTCTTCTCTATATACATTATTTTATATCATATAAATATTTTAATTATTTTTTCACATTTCGTGTTGTATCTATAATATAAAAATTATCGTATTATCTTTCTAATTCTTTTGAAAATAGGCCAAAGTTTAAACGAAGAAGTTCTTTATTATTTGTCATAAATCTACTAATACTTTTAGTAATTATTATTCAGTATTACGTGCAATAAGCAATTAAACCTTTTTTTCCTTTTGTTTTTCATATAGAGTTTTGACTTTAATTTTTTTAACTTAACTACATGACAATTTTAATTACATCTTTATATTGTTAATTTTTTTCTTGGAATTATTTTATTGTAAATATTTTAAATTTAGTTTTATCAATTATATTTTCAATTGCGTGATATTATTCATATAATATGTTTTTACTTGTAATAATTCAAAAAACTTTCTCATACCAAATTTAAATGTTTAATCCTTCTATATATCTATTATTATATTATCCGTTTACAAAAAGAAAATCTTTATATTTTGTTTTTAATCTATTGTAACTGTGTTACCCGTTACTTAATATGGTTACATTATTACGTAACTTTTTATTAGCTTGTCACCTACTTTATATCCTTATCTACTACTTCTATTAAAATATACTATAATGAATATAGTTTTTCTTTCTCTTAAAATAATTTTTTTTAAATCTTTCACTCTACTTGAAATATCAAAATATTTTTGAGTATTAATTATTTATTTGCTTTATTTTATCATTTAAATTAGTTCAAAGTATAAATTCTCTCATACTATATTTATCTCTTTAGTCACAACACATCAAAACTAATCATCACAGAATTACTGTGTCAAAGACCAGACATAAATGAACCGAGAAATGGGATGGACTATCGACTTGCCTCTCCTTCATAAACTTCCTTATTTTCCTTAATACGACAACCAATAGCTCGCCGGAAATTTTCCATCAAAACCTCAGTTTTCTTTACTTCTGATGAATACACTTCAGAGCCAACCATTGGGCAAAATGGAACCTACAACATTGAAGTCAATGCCACCAGTTATCATACAAGCTACTATAATTTGGATTTCTAACCCTAATAAAAGTAAGTCATACTAACAAACAAGGAATATTTACATTGCCCAATCAACTAAAATGTTATTAATATTCATTCAATCAACTGCACCTCAACTCTAAACTAGTTGAGCTCGGCTATTTTGAATCATTGAAACCTTTATATGAATTCCACTCTGCTTGATCCCATTTCATTCCAATACTGGTAAATAAAGCTCAAAACATTATAAATATGATAAAAGAGAAGCATTAAATCCATAACCAAAAAGAGTAAAAAGAATGTACCTTACTTCCAAGTTCTTGTGATATACCAAGAGCAAGAGCTATCTTCCCGGTACCAGACGGACGGGACCAGCAAGCAGTAAAGCCCAACCCGCCATCTTCTTTTGGTGTATCATATCAACCACAAGCCCTGCAGCTTCTCTAGCTGCTGCCTGACCCACAAATCTAGCTGTCAGTGGTATTGTCATCCCAATGGGCTACAATATAATACAATGTAGTCACATTCAAGCAACCATATGTTGGCAATTTCAGTATAAACATACATAAGAATTAAACATCAAATGCAAGAAACCTCTTGGTAACTAAAGAACTAGCAATAACATACCAGCTCTACAAAAAAGTAATACCAAAGGCCCAAAACCCTAAAACCTAAAAAAAAATATTAACCTTAAAATTTGTCTAAAAGATAAAAAGGGTACAAAGAGTAGAGTGGGACAAACAGGAGGTTGGTTAGACCCATCAAAAGATTGAAGTTTTACACAAACTTAATACCAAAGGTCTAAAACCCCAAACCCCCAAAAAATACATTAACCCAAAAGTTTGCTTAAAGGGTACAACAAATAGGGGGCCAATTAGAACCAACACAAGGTTAAAGCTTTACACAAATTAAACACTAAAAGTTAAAATCCAAAAAAACACAGACAAATAATTAACTCAAAAAAATTGCTTAAATGATAAAAAAGGGTATAAACAGTGTACAAAGACGCGAGGAGGTTTAAGAGTAGCATCTCTAATGGAGGCAATGGTGGGGTTTTTGAAGGGCTAGAATTTTTAATGCGCCATAAACCCCAGCATGCTCATATTATTTGAAATAAACCCTCGAAATTTTAAAAAAGTGTCACTTAAGTCCTTTTTGTCTCCTTCATTATTGTTTTTCTTTCTTTCTTACTTTTTTTCCTTTTTTATCTTAAGGCCAATTGTACTTTCTCGTTAAGACAAAAGAGAATTCTCATCTTCACTCTCTAAATAATATAAAGCATTTCAACTTTTAAGTATGAGGATCAAAAAATCAAAATTTACATTGTGAAATTGAATGTCTAGCCTTTTCTTTGGATTAAAATTTACCTATTCAAGAACTACAAGAAAGCACAAAAGAATCAGTAACATATTATTTTTATAATTAAAGATATGGAAAATGTTTGAAAAAAGTCCTAGCTAGAGAAAGCATTTGACTTCTCAAATGATAATGATATTACATAAAATGAGATGAAAAAAGTACGTTTTATTTTGTCTAATATGACCTTCTTCAATTGACAAAGTCGTACACAGTTTGACACCATTTCTTCTTTTTTTTTCCCATCCGGTGTCCGGTACCCGCATTGGAGCCCTACTATATCCGGATTCGCAACGTGTAGAGCCTCATTCGGGGGAAGCGTTCCCTACCAAGTATTTTTCTATACCCAGGGCTCGAACCCGAGACCTGTGGTTAAAGGAAGAGCAGTCCCGTCTACACCACATCCTTTGGTGGTTCCACAATTTTTTCTGATTTGTGTCTATATTTTCTTTCTCTTTTTCTTTCTTTTTATTCTCTCTCTCCAGTACACCAAATTCTGTAAGTAAAAGCAACCGATACTACGAGATGTGACACTATACATGTTGATATATGAAAAGGAAAGATAATATAAATTGAGGTGCATCTAAAACATTTGCCATCATTAGTCAGATGCAAGACACTATGAATCTTAAAAGTCAAGAAGTTTCAAATATGACGTTTACGTCGATTAGATTATTCATTACATTAAGTTACCAAATAGAAAATAGTACACACATTTCGGATCCTATTTAGTAAGTGATTGCAACTTCCATAACAAAGATAAAATCAAATAAATATTCACGCGAACAAATGCATGCTTCTCAGTGTTTCTCAAGTGATTTGCACTTCAAATAGAAGCAAGAAAATTTTCTGAAGACAACAACGGGAGCACAATCGCTTCATGTTTTTAGGAGGCATGCTTAAAACTCAGGCACAAGTCCTACTATTCTGGTGAACAACTTCAACTTGACAATAGCTTCCTAATCTCCTGTTCCATCTTCTAGTAAGGAGTATCTTTCAAGGATAGCAACGGTCTCTTCCTTGGCACTGTCATAAGATTAGCAATTCATCAAATTACGCACTACAGTCTTATGACTTTCTCGTCCCAATGGTTAAACACCAAGAAAAGTTTCGACAATACAGTCGTAGTTGTACACAACAACAATAACAACCCAGTGTAATCCCATAAAAGGGATCTGGAGAGGATAGGATGTACGCTGCCTTACCCCTACCCTGGAAGGGCAGAGAGACCAGTTGATCAAGTCATGGACATTATTTAGAGCATTACCTCAGGTAGAAATCTAGAAGGCAAAAAAAAAAATCCAATAGGTAATATTCCATGTGAAGACTCTGTGCTAAAAAAGGATAAAATATTATTTTGTCTCTCTAACAAGAAATGATTTACAAATAGAATAAAAAGGGGCGAAGTCATAGCTACAACCAACAAAACGAGAACTAGAAAGCATTAAAAAAAGGAGGCATGACAAATATTGTATTTCTTAATCTTATTGTATTTATTGGGGAAAGGGAATTGACTATGACTAATTTAGCAAACAATATGAAAATTATCATGCACCTTCTTACTTAAAGTATTTTCTGGTAAATTTCATTAATTTAAAAGTCAACTCCTTTGAAGCCTTCTTAGAAGATTATGATCAGTTCAACTCGACAACAGTTCCAATCCTAGATAATGGAAGCTTACCTCCCAGGTCTAAGAATCTTGTACTTTCCCAACTTGGTAAGATCCACCATAGTTGATCCTGCTCGCCCAGCTGGAAGAATTCCGCCATCATAGACATATGCACAATTCTCCCAAAGGTTCTCAAAATCTTTGATGTTTATGCTACTGAGTTGTCCACTGAGGTTAGCGCTAGTAAGTGCAAGGGCACTTCTAGAACCACGGGCAATTTCCCTGATGAAGTTATAGTCAGGAACTCGAACCCCTATGCTCTCTAGTCCGGGGTTTAATGACTTCTCAAGTATACTTGACTCACCTGCAAAATATCCATATTAAGCCGTTAAAACAGAAGATTCATAAGAGAAAGATAAAAGCTTCTAAAACTACTTTACATTAGCCAGATTTTGCCTAGGGGAGTGACTCTTCCTGGTCCTTATTCAAGTGTCTTACTTGAGAAGTTACAAACAGTTACTATGTAAAATAAAGTAGTACTAATTTGAGATATTTAACTTTGTGATCCGAACAGATCTTGAATAAGGATACCTATCCCTGCCACATTTGTTGAACATAACATAAGCTACTAACCTCGCCTTAAGAACACAGTTACAGGTCCTGGAAGTAGGCAATCAAGCAAGACATGAGTCAGATGATCTGTCACAGTGTAACGTTGTATATCATGAACATCGCCAACACAAATCGCCAGAGCACTTGTATGCTTACGTCCTTTGATCTCATAAATACGATTTACTGCCTTAGCAGAACTATATCAATGCACCATATAAAATTAAACTAGACTTCCCATAAATATGACTTAGAGAAATAAACAACAAATTAAATTGTCTCCTTGATTTCTAGGTCAAATGAATAAACAGTGAACGACAAGAATGTTTCTTTTTTCTGAAAGTTAAATCAAAGTGGAGCCCCAATAAATTTTTCAATGGAAATTATATTATCTTCTGTTTTCTAACAACCTAGGTTCAAAAGATTCCTTTCCAGTTCACAAAACTAATCAGCACTTGCAGACTTGAGCACATCAAGTTTTGGCAGTAATCTTAATTCAATTTCCGTACTAGGCTCTGCTGCTAGCTCATTCAAACACAACTTAGCGACACACATTCGCTGGTCTTGCCCAACGTCATTATGAAGACCTCCAAGATGAGAGATTGGGTTTCTTTGTGTTCTGCAATTAACTCAAACTTCTGGTTCTAAACGAGATTTAGGTTCTTCTCAATGATTTTGCTTAACCTTGAAAAGTGGATGAATGTATACAACCACAAATAGATCAGATTTTCCTAACATTTCTTGGTTCTTTAAGCCATTAGACTTTACTACAGTTACTATGTGCTTCCCTGTGGCTTAAGCTCCAAATTTCTATTATCGATAGACATGCCATCAATCGGAACAACAATTTTGGTGGGGAAAATTCTGGACAGTGTAAAGGATGAGTAGTCCAGTTTTTCTCATTTTTTTGGACTTACAAGCTCGGATTTTGGGCAATTTTGAACGAGAAGTTACGGAAATTCTTGGGGGTAAGTGTTCTTGACTCTCTTGTGATTATATTCTATGAATAAATCTTCATTTTTGGCTTTAGATTATTGATATTTGAAAGGAAATGGAGGAATTTTCTAAAATTCCATAAAAATGAATTTTCAAGATTTGAACATCGATTCGAAGTCGGATTTGAGTAAAATTAGTATGGTTGGACTCGTAATTAAATGGGTTGTCATATTTTGTGACTTTTGTCATATTCCATGACACGACCCCCACGAGCGATTTTTGGGTTAATTTTGGATTTTGTTGAAAAATTTGTATTTTTTATATGGAATTAATTCCTAAAATATATATTGAATGAATCTAGTTAATTATGACTAGATTCGGGACATTTGGAGGCCGATTTGAGCGGAAAAGGCATTGCGGAGTAAGATTTTGCTCGGATTGAGGTAAGTAACGGTTAAAAATTTGGTCCTGAGGGTATGAAACCCCGAACATTGTGCCGTATGACTATTTTGGAGGTGACGCACATGCTAGGTGATAGGCGTGTGGGCGTACACTGTAGGGTTTGTGACTTGGTCCATCCCGCGAGACTGTGGAATTAATTGGCCTATTGTTTAATACATGTTCCATATGTTTTCATAGAAAGTGACTGTACTTCATGTTAAAAATCATGTTTAGGCCTTATGTGATCACTGTTGAGACCTGTGAGGTCGTGTACTTACTGAATTAGCTGCTAATTGCTATTTTGTACTTAGTCATAACTTTTCTTGCTTATTATGCCTCCGTCTCTTGCTATTCATTGTTGATACATGACATTACCTCTGTTTGGGCTGTTTATATGATTTTTGAGAGCCCGAGAGATTGGAGAGATTGATAACTGAGTGAGGCTGAGGGCCTGATCTGTGAGGATATTTATGGGATCGGGCTGCACACCGCAACATGTTGTTACTGATTTATGACTGAGTGAGGCTGAGGGCCTAATTTGTGAGGATATTTATGGGATCGGGCTGCACACCATAGAATGTTGTTACTGATTTATGATTGAGTGGGGACGAGGGCCTGAGTAATTTACGCCACGAGGTGGCTTGTTATAATGCTTGGGCTGAAGGAGCCCCTCCAGAGTCTGTACACACCCCCAGTGAGCGTAGGTACCTACTGAGTGCTAGTGCTGAGTACGAGTGCCGAGTGCTGAGCGACTGAGAGGAATGAGTGAATGTGAGGAATGAGTGATTGTGAGGTTGGAGTGAATAAGAGGATAGAGTGATTGTTATTATGAGAAAATACATTTACTTCATTACTGTTGCATCGCAGATGTCATATCACTGTTTTGAAAATTATTAGAAGATATTATTTACTGCTCAGTCAAATTTGATATCTGGTTCATTGAGTACGTACTGATATGACTTAAACTACTAAATTGAAAGTAAGACTACTCTTATTTGAAAGTTATTGAAATAACTGTATTTGCATAGCTCGTCACTACTTCTCAGTTCCTTATTTATTTCTGTTACTTACTAAGTTGGTGTACTCACATTACCCCCTGTACCTCGTGTACAGATCCAGACACTTCTGGTCATGACGGTTGCTGATTGAGGAGTTAGACTCATGAGACTATTGAGGTAGCTGCATGGCATTCACTGACCTTGACTCTCCTTTCCTTTCATGTTGTATTGTTCTATATTTTCAGACAATGTTTTATCAGTCGGATGTTGTTATCATTTAGATGCTCATGCACTCAGTGACACCAGGTTTTGGGGATGGATTATTTAGTACTTTTGGAGTTATACTCTGCTCTAAAAGGTTTTATTTAATATTAACTCCTTCCGCCTTTATTTAAAAGTTCTACTGTGTTGAGTTGTTGAGTTGAAGCTTGCCTTGTACCACGATAGGCGCCATCACGACGGGTGAGATTTTGGGTCGTGACAAGTTGGTATCAGAGCACTAGGTTATATAGGTTTTACGAGTCATGTGCAGGTTTAGTAGAGTCTTGCGGATCGATACAGAGACGTCTGTACTTATCTTCGAGAGGCTACAGAACCCTTTAAGAAATTCCACATTCTTGAATTCTTATCATGCGACATTGATTAAACTTGAAGCATAATTCCTTGAATTTCTTCCACACATTCTTGAGCGCACATGAGCGCTCGGTATCTGCTCTGCATCGACAACTTGTGATTTCCTGGATGGGTGCGAGATGTGATTTCTGTGTGTGATGTTTGGCCAGTTTGGAGGACTTGAGGCAAGGTTTTGTCTGTGGCTTGAGTATTGAGATTTCAATTGTGTGAGCACATGCATTGGGGACCTATATGTCCATTTGTGTCCTTACTGGTGGGATTTGTTACTGGATAACTAGGGGGTGAGTATGATTTGATTGCGAGATATGTTGAAATTGTTCGAATTTGATGGGAAGAGTTTGCTGAGGATGTAGCAAGGATTATTGGTTGTTTGACTTCTGTCTTGAGTTGGCATATGGCTTCGAGCTATGGGTGTATTGAAGGACCTCTCGTGTAGTTTAGTTGTTGAGCGGAGTAAATCTTCATGTTGTGTTATGAGTTCAGACTTAGAGGGAGGTTAAGTGATTGTGTAATAGTTATGATTATTGAAGAGTATAGAGAGATACAATTTTGAGGCTAAGCAAGTGGATTATCTCCTGCAGGATGTTCTGAAGTTTCTGTGATCCTTACGTTGTTGGTTGGCAGTCCTCTTTACCAGTGAAATATACGTGTTGTAGTTTGAGTTTGGATCGCATATGAGAGTTAGATTGATTGTTACGAGGGTGAATGTGAGATTTGTAAATGGTTTGAGGAATTAGATGGGTTGTGTTGCATGAGCTTATGAAGGATTTAGCTTAATCTCATCTAGTTGGGGCAGCTCAACTAGTTATTGTGGCAATGGCCCAATGAGAGGCCTGCTGTGACGACCCAGCCAGTTGTCTCATGAGTTACCACTCCATTTCCCCATTTCTACTTCTTTATGCTTCGTTATCCGTGTTTTATGTGATCGGGTTGATTAGTATGAGTTCGGAGAGGATTTGGTAAGAAATGAGACACTTGGTCTCTTTTAAGAAGGTTTAAGTTGGAAAAGTCAACCGGATGTTGATTTATGTGTTAGAGGGCTCGGATGTGAGTTTCGATGGTTTGGTTAGCTTCGGAAGGTGATTTATAACTTAGGAGTATGATCGAAATTGGTTTTGGACGTTCGGAGTAGAATTAGGCTTGAATTGGCGAGGTTGATATTTTTGGAGATTTCCAGTTGTTAGGTTAGATTTTGATATAGGGGTCAGAATAGAATTTCGAGAGTTGCAGTAGCTTCGTTATGTCATTTAGGATGTGTGTGCAAAATTTCAGGTCATTCGGACGTGGTTTGGTTGGGTTTTTGATCAAAAGTGTATTTCGGAAGATTTTAGAAACTTAGGCTTGAAACCTATGTATTTTGGGTGATTTGATGTTGTTTGAGGTGTTATGATGATTGGAACAAGTTTGAATAAGGTTTTAGGATGTGTTGGTGCTTTTGGTTGAGGTCCCAGGGGCCTCGGGGTGATTTCGGATGGCTAACGGAAGAATGAATATATACAATAGGGAGTTGAATATACAATGGGGGATGAATATATACAATATGATGTAACTTCATATACAGACCCAAGGAAAGATAAAAAAATGCGATAAAAGTAACTAAATATAAATTATATTCAGACCAAACGAAAAAGCTCACCACCTCAAATAAAAGATGGCATTGTCCTCAATGACAATTAGTCTAAATAAGCACCAAAAACAATAGAAAAAGGATATAGAAGACTCCCTAAGCCGTGTCTGTCTGCATAGGATCATGGGTGGTCCCTAGGTCCTCTGTGTCCTCGGGAACCTTAGACTAGTTCCCGGTGGTCTGCTCTGATGCTAATGGGACCTAGTCCTGGACCTCGACAGGCCGTGGAAGTGGTACATCCTGTGGCTGATTGGAGGAAGCGTCCGGTGGGTCCGCCAACTGTATGATGACATCATTTGCTCTAGGGATCTTCTTCCTCTTCGGAGGCCTCTGGGTCTGTTCCGGCTGTGGATGAGCTGCTGGGACTGGATCATCAAGTAACAGGTCCAAAGGCAGCTGGTCTGCCTTCAGTCTATCTGCATCTGCCCGCAACTCCTTCATGGACTCCTTAGAGGCTCGCGTCTTTCTAAGCTTCTTGTGCTCCCGAGCAAGCTCCTTGAGAGCTTTGCTGTGTGAATCAACTAACTTGGTCAGTGTCTCCTGAGTAGTGAGGATTTTCTTCTAGTTCTCAAGTATCTCTTTCAAAGCATCCTCTATCGACTGGGGCACCTGAGCTGGCTGAGGTGCCGACTGAGCCTCTACAGTAGTAGTCAATGTGGACAACTTGGATGAGGCATTCTACATCCAGTTGTTTATACTCAGCAGGGCCTGGCTCAGCCAGTAGGCAGTAATGGGATGGGCCCGGGTAGATGGGATCTCTGGACCTGCTGATGTGGAAGGTCCAGGAGGAATGGCTGAAGATGTGGAAGGTCCGGGGGGCATGTCAGCAGAAATGGAGGTAGGCTCGGCAGGGACCTCTACCACAGCTGTCTCTTTAGACTGGCCAGTTGGGGCAGAAACAAGGGCTTTGTAGTTCTTGT